AAGTTACTATTACGGGTTACCACACAAAAAGCCTTTGCCGGTCCCAAGCCCGAATGAAAAAGGAGGGGGGGGGGGAGCAGTAACAAGCTCACTAAAAAACCTGGGTTCAGCTGGTCCGGCTGATAGTACGCTGTAAGGGCTCCTAATCCAGGGATACAGGATGAGCAGCGTTTGTACTCATTGTTAGGAGCAGCTTCACATGGCGTCTGTTCCTCATGTCAGAGGCGGCCATTTCTTTTGGAGCTAAGTCGGCCTGCCACTGAGTAGTGCTCCCAGTCTTAATGACAAAGGCAGACGCATTGTACTTCACCCAGTCATGATGGTTGTCAAACAGACACCATCAAGGGTCACAACTTGATACCCTAATGTGATTGATTGAGTGGAGATAAGAAAGAAGAAGAAGACCACACAAAAAATTAATAAACTAGGGCCTACAGTAAGAGTAACTTAATACATAGAAAAACCTACACTCAAGAGTACAACACCAACAACAAAAAGTAGGTAAATTAAAAACTCACGATTTGTAAAATAAAAACAAAACAGTACTTATTGTAGCGTTGGTAGGGATCGGACTGGGGTCACACAGGTATGTGAGGAGATAGCCAGACACGGATAAAGCACGCAGAGAACACTTTAAGCATCTCCACACAAATTCTAACGCTCTGTCCCTCCGTGTTCTCTAGTCCCCTCTTATATACAAACATGGCCACATTCGTCCAATGACGTGAGAGATTGGTTCACTAACAACCGAAAACAACATTCTTCCCGCTAAAAACTGATCAGAAAAAACTGCAAATGTTTGTCAATAAAATTTGACACCATAAGTGCTTTAGAACACCAAACTATATTTACAAAATGTTACAAACGTGAAAATTTGCTGAGATTTGGTATTATATTAAGAAAAAGGCATCTCCTGAACGTAAACCTGGACGTTGTGCTGATGTATGGCTCGCCCTCTTATTGTTTAGTTGATATTTATTCCGAAAGATGGCGCAAGCCATCAGCAAGTTTCAGTTGCACGATTTGAGGTGCCTTTTACTTTATTTGTCAACCTGAGCCCTTACAATTCCACACACAGTTGTATGCTATATTCAATATATTTACCGTATACTATATTAAAGGTATTTTCTATAAAAAAAATTCCCGGAATTTTTTAAAATAAAAATTCAAATATAAGATTAAAAGAATTTTTAAAAATTCCTAATCTAGACACCAGTGCCATCTTGCTGCCAATTTTCGTAGAATATTTTACAGCCTTCTTCCAAGTCTCTGAAGAACTTGAGCAATATTTCTGTTATGACTTCCCGTGACTCGCTGCCCTTCAAGAGACATTTGCCGTATAGGAAAAAAGTCATTTTGGGCAAGTTCCGGTGAGTATAGAGCCCGAGGAAGTATAGGAATATTGTCTTTGGCAATTAAATTCTAAACAGCAACAGCCATATTATTATGGTTGGGAACCCAAAACTGGACGAACTTCTTTTCCAATGGCAGCAAATTGTGAATAATGGAATGACATAATCCACTCGAAGGACTCGTAGGTTCTGGTATAGGAATTTATTATTTCTGGAAATGTTTTAATCAATTCTGTTGATATTCTTCTTCTTCATTCTTCTTATCCATAAGTCATCTGACTCTTGGATCATCTTGGAGCATCGGAAGAGCTGGGCAGTCAAAAACCATTGTTCCAAACCTGATACAAGAGCTGAGTGAAATGTTAGATTAAACCTAGCGGAACTACAGTGAAGGCTCACCACTGATAAGCTTCCCAATATTTTCTGGAAAAGTATGAACAGCTAACTATTTGAGTCAAAAGGCGATCCATTAATTAAGATTATATAAAAAGGCGTACCTGGATCTGTAAAGAAAAAAAAATTTTTTTTTTCTCAAAATATTTCGAGAGATTGCTCCCTCTTTATCAATTTAGTGCAATAAATTGACAAAGAGGGAGCAATCTCTCGTAATATTTTGAGAAAAAAAATTGTTTTTTTTTCTTTACAGATCCAGGTACGCCCTTTTATATAAAGTTAATTATTGTTTTCATGATGCATTTGCGCGCCATCTGTTATGGAAATCTCAAACTATTATAGACGCGTATGATTATTTTCAAAAATTAAACAATTTCTATTGCCCTTACTGCAATGGAAAAATTAAAGGAAGGGCCCCTTTTTATATAGAGAACATATCTGAGCTAAAATTTCAGTTAAACTAAAGAATTTATTTGTACCACCACGTATAGATGTATAAATAGATTCATTTGTTAAAACATAAACCTATGTGTGTTAAATTGAACGGTAAATTTTAAATTCCAAGTTCCCGTCTATAGTGGAAGGGAGTAGAATTAAGACCTGACTAACGATGTGGCAATCTACTGAGGACTGTGATTGGTCGAGAACCTGGAGATCTTAATGGCTGGGAGCTGACCAATAAAAAGGGCCGTAAAAGACAAGCCTCCCCGTTATGGAGCGGTGTAAATAAAGCAAACTGCGCTTTAAGTTGTGTTCAGAACCCTTTCTTCTGTATCACTCCATACCACGTACATTATCGTGTGAAGAAATAATAGAAAAATTAAAAAATAGAATGGTCAGGTGATCAGGTACAGCCTACTTCACGTTGACGAGCGCTAACAGCGCGAAACACGTTCGTGGATGGCTTTTCTTGATTTATCAAGAAATGGGGTTGGTCAAATATCAGGAAACAGGCTAAATCAACGTTTAGTTGATTTCTGTTCCACTAGATGGCGATCTGCCATCTAAAAAGCTCATGTGCTCCTGGTCAGGATATGCCTTCTTTGTTTCTAATAGATATCGTATATAGATGACTATATGCAAAGGTGGACCAGTCTATTTACAAATTGGTACAAGTACTGAGAATGTAAACGAATGATTGTTATTACAGGGGAGATAAAGGACTGGAGGAGTTCACCACTGATGAGCCAAACTTCCCCAAATATCTCCCAATACATTTAAAGACAGCAGAAAATTCAATTGTGAAAAATAAAGTGAAAACAAATTTGAAATCTTGGTCAATGAAAGTTGTTATTCAAAGTTTGTCTCTATTTACACATTCAATACCAAAATATCTAGATTTTGATTAAGCAAATGTTATCAGTTCACAACTTGAAGGTTCCAGAGTACTGAGCTACTGGAGTACATCCAAGGTTACTGAGGGGGTGTACTGGACACAGGCTCTCGGTGTATGTAGCTCTTCCCTTTCACACTACAGTGGGTGCTTATAGCAAGTCCGACATCAATAGAACAGATATATTTCCAAGTCCCAGTACTAGGTCAACAGCCCGAATGTTCCCAGGAGCACTATGAGCCGACACCAAGCTTGAGATGAAATTAACATTTCTAGTGGCGACATGGTTTTCCTCATACTGCGCGACATGGCTGACAAAGTTGACAATGCAGAAGACCAATGACACGTGACAACTTCTGTAATGAACCGGGAGTCACGAGAACAAAGCTTGCGTGAAGAAATCTTGAGGCAGAAAGTTTCCTAACTTCACTCGACCGACATGTCGGGGAAATTTGGTCACGAAAATGTCATTTTGCTCATTCACAGTTTCAAACTGTCCAATGCTAACAGAAGTTCTGTTCTCTCTGTTTATTCTATTTCATATTTAATATATTATTCATTTTTTCAAATTCTTGATTTGTACAGAATATATATTCAGAAATAATACATTTTGGGGGGAAAAGAGCATAAAAATATTATCTATTAATTTTTATTTCAACTTTGAGGGCTATGTCCCTTGTTCCCAGCGGATTCCAAAGAGCGCCGAGGTCCAGAGTTCCATCTCGTGTAGACCGAACGAACAGAATCCTCCAAAGGAGTCACGGGGGCTGGGAAGCCGGAATAACATCAGCAGAACAAAGAGGAGATTTATCCCTTACTCCAACACAGCTACTGTTACAACATCTCTTCTCGTTTTTTTGACGCATGGAATATTTCTGTCCTGTGTTTTGTTTCCTTTTATTTCTTATTATTATTGTTACACGTGGGGTCGGTGGAAGGATGGTCTAAACCGTTGGTTTTCGACCGCTACGACCCGGGTTCGATTCCCACACTGGGCACTTTTTCTGATAAAAAAAATGCTCCAATGGCTACCACTCTTGCAAAAGTCCAACCCCACCAGCGAATGCAAATAAACAAACGGGGCTCTGGCACATTTGTAAAGGCAAGGTCGAACCGCTTTTTACATGTGTAGACATGTGGTGTACTTACAGTAAAAGCAGTCGCCTACTTCTACCCACCATGATCATCATGGCCTGTACCACGTGTACTAGGAATAAGCAAAAAAAAATGTTACACGGTGTTGTAGTCACCCAGCTTGATTTCCTTCTTTATGTCGTACACCGAGCGGGTTTCCATATAATCAAGGTGTCAATAAAAAAAAAAATAAATAAATTAAAGTTACTTTGTTTATTTGTTGACTTCCTCGTAGTTGGGGGTTTTCACGTATCTCCTCCCTCCAAAATAAACATTCAAGATATAAACAATAACAATGGTACAGAAGGAATGATACTATAGTACATAATCTGTTTAAAATGTATTTAAACATCAAATATTATTTTTATTATTTGCTTATCCCTAGTACACGTGGTACAGGCCATGATAATCATTATGGGTAGTTAGCGACTGCTTTTACTGTAAGTGCACCAAATGTCTACACATGTGAAAAGCAGTTCAACTTTGCACTTACAAATGTGCCAGAGCACCGTTTGGTTACTTGCACTCGCTGGTGGGTTGTTGAAATTTTGCAAGAATCAGGAGCCAATGGAGCATTTAAAAAAGCATTATTTTGAATAAATGGACATCAAACATGATGTAACAATATAATTATAATATAGCGCGCCATCTGTTAAGATAAATTGAAACTATTTTTGTCGCGTATGTTTCTTTTTAAAATAAATCAATTTTCTACTTACCTTACTGAAATGATAAAATAATGGGAGGGCCTGGCTCATCAGTGGTGAACCCTCCCAGCGGGTTACGTCAAAATAGTAGCCTAGTGGACATGGCATTTGCCCGGTAAGCGGAACACTGTGGGTTCGATTCCCACCCCTGGACACTTTTATTTTTCCGTTTATCATTACTCTTCACAATTCATCCTTTTATACCTCATTCCAAAGGTTAGAAATAATCGATATTTCTCCTTGGAATACATTCTAGTTTTTCGTTTAAGGGAAACACGTACGGAATAGTTTTAAAATGTCGTTTTATTTTTATTATTGTTTACAAAGATACATTTTGTTTTGATGTGATACAATTTGATGGAAAGTTTGTATTAAAATATTAGCGCACAGACAGGAATTCAATCATTTACATATTTGTGAAAAATCAAGAAGAATAGAAAATGGCCAGGCGTTGATTTAAAAAAAAAAAAAAAACATTACTGACCAGGCTCACCTGAGAAATCTAGACGGCAGAGCGCCATCTAGTGGAACAAAAATCAACTAAAGGTTAATTTAGGTTTGTTCCGTAATATTTAGCCAACACATTTTCTAGGTAAATCAAGAAATACCAACCACCTACGCATCTCGGGCAGTTGGCCCTCGTCAGTGTGGTAAAGGCTGTACCTCAACGATCAAAAATATTGTCCAAGAGGTTCCCTGAGAAATCAAGAAATGGGTAGTTAAGGACAGATTTGCGTAAATGCGCTGAACCTGTGAAACAAGATCAGGTATATTGAAAATAAAAAGGTAAATCTTGACTGCTGACGAGAGCCAACAGCCCATACGGCATACGTGGTTGGCTATTGCATAGACGGATGAATCATAGATTTAACTCCCATTTTGACGGGAGAGTTAACTCTTTCTTTGTTGTAATCTTAGATAGAATAGAATGTTTACTGAATGTTTACTATATCAAGACTAAGGACAAAACACTACAAAGGAATGACAATACGCCCAGATGGTACAAGAACCTATAGGACATGTAACAACTGTCCTGGTGTGGAACTAACACCTACCCACATATTCTCATGTCCAGCAATGGCCGCAGCCTTGCAGAAAATTGATATGGACCCAGAACAGAAGCTTTACACACCCAAGATAGAGGACATTGCTGTGATAGAGATGTATGGCGACATCTGAGGCTCTTCATTGGACACGACAACAACAGAAAATTGACATGGACCCAGAGCAGCAGTTTTACACACCCAAGATAGAGGACATTGCTGTGATAGAGATGTATGGAGACATCTAGGCTCTTCATTAGACACAACAACAACAGAAAATTGACATGGACCCAGCGCAGCAGCTTTATACACCCAAGATAGAGGACATTGCTGTGATAGAGATGTATGGAGACATCTGAGGCTCTTCATTGGACACGACAACAACAGAAAATTGACATGGACCCAGAATAGCAGCTTTATACACCCAAGATAGAGGACATTGCTGTGATCGAGATGTATGGAGACATCTGAGGCTCTTCATTGGACACGACAAAAACAGAAAATTAACATGGACCCAGAACAGCAGCTTTACACACCCAGGATAGAGGACATTGCTCTGATAGAGATGTATGGAGACATCTGAGGCTCTTCATTGTACACAACAACAACAGAATGTTTTATAACCGGCTCAATATAAGTGATGATGGTACTCGACACAAGTGAAACATTTGAAGTCAAATTTATTAATATTCGAATGATCTATCATGATGATTCTAGATATTCATCATCAGAATATTTCAAGCGATGCCGTAAAGGACCTAGAAGGCTGAGAGAGGAAATAGACCGTCCCAACCAGAGCTGTCCCACACCTAGAACCAAGTTCACCTTATAATCCTATTGATTTCACCTTAATTTTCCCCAGTTTTCCAATTCCTGTCTCTCATTTTCCTATTGGAAACTTTAGAACTGGGGTCAATACTCCAGGCCGCCACTCTGCACCAAACGCCTTCTTTGTCTTCAACGGATTTCTAGCTATCGATTTATCGAACACGGCTCTGAGTTTTTAAAAGATTTTTTGTACATTATTCCATTGTTCTTGAAAACATTGCTTGGTCGAGTTTCTTTATAAAAATACCTTTTTACCACGTTGCTATATATAGTCTTAATATAGAGCAAAACGTAATATAATAGGTGTGTATTTTATATATGGGGCTTTTTCTCTCTGTTGAATTTTTTTTAGAAATATATTTTTCAATATTTAGATGGACTATTCGTTCATCTTTCACGAGTTTATTTGTTTTTCTGAGTAGCAAATAGTGCATTGAGGTTAGCCATGGTTTTATCCCATACATAAAGATGCGTATATAATAATGCGTGTTATAATTAGCTAGAAGTTGTAATTCAGTATCTCCGTGTTGAAGAGCATGTTTGCACGAAAGCTCGAGAAACAAAAAAAAATGTGAAAAGAAACTAAGCCCTAGATATTTCTTATTGATTTAGTTGAAACATACATATGAAAAAATAATAAAAAATAAATAATAAAAAAGGTCAAGTGTTGATATTAAATTCAAAAAGGACATATTCTGACCATGAGTACATGTAATTTTTAGATGGCAGATTGCCATCTAGTGGAACAAAAATCAACTAAACGATGATTTAACCTGTTCCCTGATATTTGGCCAACAAATTTTCTTGATAAATCAAGAAAAGTCAACTACGAAAGCGTTTCGGGCTGTTGGCCCTCGTCGTGATTTATCAAGAAATTGGGTTGGTCAAATATCAGGGAACAGGTTAAATCAACGTTTAGTTTATTTCTGTTCCACTAGATGGCGCTCTGCCAACTAAAAAGCTCATGTGCTCATGGTCAGGATATGCCTTTTCTATTTTAATATCAACATTTGACCTTTTTTATTATTTTAATTTTTAAATATATTTTTTTCATATATATTTGTGTTTAAATAAAAAGACATATATTGGATCAAAGTATCATTTATTTTACCAATATTTCAGTTGGCTGAACGCCAACCTTTATCAAGGTATTAATGTGTGTCAACAACAAACTCAGCGCCACATACCGTCAATAGAATTAAGTTTGAAAATATATGTGTGTGTTTATGTGATATCATCATAGCTAATTGTTCGCCAATCTTCTTCTGGCTGGTTTTCTTATGCTCACTCTTCAACCTAGAGGTATAGTCAGCGCAGAGGTCTTCTCCTAAAATGAAGCGGGCCTTCCAAAACTCTAATCTATGTGAAAGCACTAGTCTCACAAAGCCCAACTCTTTTTTTTATTTCCAACCACACTATATATACAATAAAATACACACACGTGACCAGGCACTCCTGGTCAAATATAATATAAACATTTACACAGAGTAATAATAAAAATAAACTCTAACATTCCTCCTCGAGTTGATGGGTCACATCAAGTTCCGGAGGGGCCACCGGAAGCAGCACCAGCTTCACCAAGGGTCTTCGGAGCACTCCAACCGATGTCCGCACCGAAACAACCCGCACCAGGCCGTCCTTCCCAGGATGTGTCTCCACCACTCTGCCCATAAGCCACTTTCTGGGGGCATTCTTTCCTCTTTTATCAATACTAACGTATTGATGTCGACATTGGGAGGGATGGTCTTCCACTTATTGCGCTGTTGCAAGTTATTCAAGTAGTCCCTTGACCATCTTTTCCACAGATGTTGCAAGACCCTCTGAACCAACTGCCATCTTGTTAGGAGATGATTCTTTACCAATAATAGGTCATTTTCCGGGACACAAGAGGATGGTTCAGTAAGCAAGAAATGGGCGGGAGTTAATACCCCTTGATCATTAGGATCATTACTCATTGGGTACAAAGGTCTCGAATTCAAACAAGACTCGATTTGAACTAGAACGGTCAGCAGTTCTTCATATGTCAACAAATTGTTCCCAATAATTCGCCTCATATGATACTTCAAAGCCTTGACCCCAGCTTCCCAAAGATCACCAAAATGGGGGGCTCCTGGAGGGTTGAACTTCCACTCAGTTCCATCATTAGCTAACACGGCAGCTAGTTCTTTTAATTGATTTTGAGCCAGATAGAAACATGAACGAACTGTCGTGCAGCTCCCACAAAATTTGTTCCTTGATCACTATATAGCCGAGTGCAATGTCCTCTTCGCGCTACAAATCGCTTAAAGGCCGACATGAAGGTGGGTGTAGAGGCATCTGTGACCAATTCAAGATGTACTGCTCGGGTCACAAAGCACACAAATAGACAGATGTAGCCCTTTTCAGTCTTTCGGCCTCTACCCTTGGACAATCGAAGGTTCACAGGTCCAGCATAATCTACACCAATGATTGAAAAGGGTTTACCCGGTGTTAATCTCTCCTTGGGTAAATCGCTCATTAGCTGGCCTTGAGTGACGCGATTGTATCGACAGCATGTCACGCACTCTCGAATGCATCTCTTCACCTGATCTTTTGCTCCAAGAGCTCTTCAGCCTCCAATACTTCTGTCTTAATGTGGACAGCATCAGGTGCACACTTCCGTGCAAAGTCCGCATATGAACTGCTTTAACAATCATCTGAGCCACCTTTCCTGATGAAGGCAATAGCGCAGGATGTTTTTGTTCATATGTCATAGATGGAGCCCATTTTAATCTATCGCCGACTCTAAGGATTCCTTGATCGTCGAGGAACGGTGTTAAACCATAAATCTTGCCCGTGCGCTTCACTGATCCTAAAGTGGTCAAACTTCTTATTTCTTCCCTGAAATGCTGGTACTGAATTGCTTGAAGTATTCTCCTATGAGCATTTCTCAGTTCGGCTGTGGTTAAGTGCGACCGATATCGCTCCGCACTGTAGCGGCAGTTATGGCAAAAACGCAATATCCAGGCCACTTTTCGGATGTACCAATTAAAGGTTGAGCTCATCTCTCCGATAGCCACCAAGAAAGGTGTTTCACTGAGGGCATGAACACTCAGGAGCTCAATTTGACCTTGGTGCTCAAACACAGGAGTCATTCTAGGCCATTCTGTTGATTCCGCTGATAACCAGGTAGGTCCTGTCCACCAGATGGAAGATTGTTTCAGCTCGGACCCCAGAATTCCTCGCGAGGCGATATCCGCTGGATTATCTCCTGTGGGAACATAGCGCCACTCCCTGACTTGTGGACAACTCTGAATCTCCGCCACACGATTGCCGA